TAACCTTTTACCTTTTTTATTGGTAACTGCAACATTATCACTGAAGTTAAAGGGGTCACAAGGATTATTACCCAGCCTGTAACAGAAACCGTTATATAATGTCTTCTGTGGCTCTTAAAGCAGCTGTCCAATGTTTGAAATAATAACCCTGATGATGTCATCAGGGTCACATCGGCTTGGGCTTTAAACTTTGAAAGCCAGCCTTACAAATTGGAGGTGTCGGGTTAAAAAGAAGTGGACATTTAAAAGGCAGGGGGGTCTAGTTAAAGACACTGTTGGGTTGCATTATGGGTAGACTCACAAGCCAGTCTCTAAATGCTTTGTCCAGTAGAGACTGAGGACTTTCTCTTGGCTTTCCCTGCTAAAACATAGTGAAAATAATAAAATAAAAATCGATCCTAAGTCTTTAGGTTGGTGCCATGGCGGTGACATGCGGATGTGCTTGTAAACACTGCTGTACCACATAATGTGGCTTGGGACATCCATTTTCAATGATTTGCTGTATTCACAGTTTGTTTCACTATGGATAAGAATGGGGAACAGCATTGTTTCAGGTAAGGTGTGTCCTCAAAGTAAGGGGTGTATGTTTGTTAGCGAAGCAAGCAAGCAAGCAAGCAAAGCAATAGCATAGCATAGCCAAGCAACTACTTTGAATTTCGAAATAGGATCTCCGATCATCTAGTATTGCAAGACTAGATAATGGGAAGTGTAGGATCCACACTGAAAGTCCTAGACCTGTCCTAGTGCACACCATCAACATGAATAACATCTTACAAAGTAAAAAAGTCTCACACAGGAAAAAGTAACTTTTCTTGAAACTTCCTGGCATCCTATATATTGCAAATAACCTTGTACACTGAGAATAAATGTTTGATTTAAATGTAAATGGTTGTGGAGCCAATCTGTAGACTTTTGAAGGCAGCAAGCAAACAGGAATGTTCATATCGAAAGTTTTGAAAGAAGTAATCTTCAGAGGATGAGGGCTCTTCTGTAAACATTCAAGTGCAATTGGCTGTGATACTCTTTCCTTCCCTTATTTTCTATTTCGGAGACCAACAGTTTTCACCCATATAAAGCCCAAGCTCTGAATTGTGGTAAAATGCTGACAGTGTGGATATAAATCTTTGGTTCTTGTATTGCAAAAGCCTTGTAATGTTTGTAGAGTAAACAAAAGCACATGAGGAATCAATTTTAGCCACAGTAATACGTTTCAACAGTATAAATGAAGCTTTTGCATCATAGAAAACCTCAGTGGTACCAGTGTATTTCACCAGATAAACTCTCCTCTCTAAAGCCCCCTACTCTACGCTGCTGGACCACCTGTGGACCTCGGGGGCTGTGAGAATGCTGAGATCTCTGCTATAATGACTTGGCATCGACTTGACTCGGCTCCTCCAAAACAATCAAGTGGGGAAGGTGAGTAAAGCCAAGCTGTACAGACCAAATGGACCTAGCATGAAGTAACCAAGCAGACAATCACTTGTATAATGAAAGAAAGAAGAAGAAATCACCCATATAAATGACAGTAACAAGAGACAGCAATTCAAATCAAACTGAAATAGCAAGTAAGCAAAAGCTGTAAATCATTCCTATCCTGTCAACCATCATTTTAACCAGACTTCAGCCTAAAACGTAGACCTTGGCGTGCTCCAAAGGGAATATATCATGCTTTGGAGTAACACAAACATCTCTAATTATGATCCCAGATCAACCGTTTTACAGTTGGGCAGCTTTATCCTCCAGGAAAAAAGAAAGCATTAATGTGATACCTCAGTCTTCTCAGAGAAATTTGGCACAACGCTCGCTGAGAATCAAGAAATATTAAGACCACCTGCTCCTCCTGTGAAACACCCTTACAGAGAGAATCCAAGTCAAACCTGTGATCCCTTATTGATTTCACTTTACTAAACACATTTGATTCGCTGGCTGAGACACGGATTATGCGAAAGGGTGAGCAAATCATTATGAGTCATAGTGTTACTGGTGGTCCTAATGATGTGAACACTGGATTTACAACTGCACTAGCATGTGTTCAGTAACAAATCAGCTCTTTCTGTCGGTCTTTCCCCTCCACTCCTCTATACCTTTGGAAAAATGTGAGCTGCTTCTACTTCTTAAGGCCAACAGAGAGAAACATTCATCACAGCCTTTGAAAAGATAGAGCCAAAAGCCTTCTTCGTGTCAGTGCTGATGCCCACTTAAGCCAAGCAATTCCTGTCGTAAACATCGCCGTTTTAATTTCTGTTTTCATGTGATATAGAAATCTAAAATCTGTCTTCAAATGTTTGTCTTCAAAAAATCCTTTTTGTGGGTCAGTCGGTAGAGCCAGCGACCCATATGTGGAGTTGCTGCAGTGGCCCGGGTTCGAATCCAACCTGCGGCCCTTTGCTGCGTGTCATCCCCCTTCTCTCTACCCACCTTTCCTATCGATCTTCAGCTGTCCTATCCCATAAAGCCATGAAAAGGCCATAAAAATAAAAATCCTTTTTGTATATACTGCACTACTGAAGATGCATACTGCCATATCTCATCTGCTCAGGGGTTAATTGTATAAATTTATACTTCAGTGATATATACATCAGTACTAATTGCAAAGCTGGCTGTAATAAGTGGAGAGTTTAAACAAAGAGGGGGAGACATGCAGGTTATGCTGAATAGCATTTTGCATGGGTGGCCCCTGTGGATCGGCCTTTAAGGTGTGCTTGGAAACTCATTTGGCTCCAAAGACTAAAGACTGAGGCAGTTTTTATCCTAAACTAAGCTACATGAAACTTCTAAAAAACTTGTACTTTATTATAAAAGTATATAACTGCAATGCAAAAGAAACAATAGCAATTATATTTAGATGAAATCCAGCAAACGAAGATGCTTGTCGATTTTACACTCAGTTGTTAGAAAAGATGCTCTCTGGCTACATCTCTGCAACGAAAAAATATTGACTGTAAGTGTGTCCTGGTAGCCTAATGGCTGACGTAGATAAAACTGCAACAATCCTTGTTTGATTCCAGCCAAGGGCATTTGTTGCGAGTCATAGCGCTCTCTTTCTCTCTCATGCCATTTCCTATCTGTCTCTACGCTACCAACTATCAAAAATAAAGGCAAAACGCTATAGGAAATGCTATAGGTGTTTGAAAGTGACATATATGTCCCAAATACATGGAAGCAGCATGTATAGCTGAATCCTACAAACAAGGCATTTCAGGTTTTTCTTTCACCATAAGACGATCTGTCAGATTGAATGAGCTACAACAGGAGAAAGGCACAGTTTTTCTTCACTGGCACAGCACCAAAACAAAGAGATGTCTATCTAATGCATGCTTCCACGGATCCTGAGATCAGTAAAGTGATCACATTTGGGGAAAATGTTACAAAGATTACAAAAACAAATCCGTACAAATAAACCTTCCACAGAAACAGTTATCTGTCCATCAGCTGGTGGCTGCTGAAAGTACTGCTCTCTGTCAAAGCAAGCCTCAGAAAAATTGTTGATTTTTTGATTTTAGTCAATAAAAACAGGTTGGAGGTAAACAACTTCAATCTGATGTTGCATTAGTTATGACAAATTAAAGTAGAAGGATTGGCATGCTCACACTGCAGACAATATTTTTTTTAAAACTAGTGCCAAAACAACTTGTTGCACCCAAATTCGATTTCAAACCCACAGATACACAAGAGGTGTTTTAGAGCCCAGCTGGCCCTGTATCCTTCACTACCTAAACTCATAAAATGGTTGTCTGATTTCTGAACGTCCTTTTTGTCTCCACAGTAGCTCTGAGCTCTGCAGAAATCCCATGATCCTCATCACTCCATCACACCAGGTTGCTGCCCTGGGAGTAATGAAGGGTGACAGGAGCTTCCACAGACACCATGTGAAAGAGACTGGGGCTGTATTTGTACTATTGTAACGAGCCAATATTATTTCCACTCCACAGTGTGAGCTTTGAGTCTAACTTTGGTATACCACCTTCACAGGTAGCGGCTCTGGTGCCAAGATTTATTTTTTCAAATTTAAAGAACACACTGAGAGTGGGGGTGGCAGAGAGGAGAGAAATGGTTTTTCCCCTTGCTCCACAAGCATCTTATTTAACCATTGAATACCATCTATTTATATACCCAGAAAAATACAGTCACACTCACAGAACCGCATCGGAGGCACTCTTTCTGCTCTCTGTGGAGAACACAGGACAGCTTTGTGTTGCCTCAAGGTCTTTCTCTGTTTCTTACTGCAAGGTCTTGTGCTCTAAATCTTACACCAAGGATAAAGATGCATTAAGGGACACTTTTTCCCTCCTGCACTGGATTGAAAACCTGGCTGAGTTTGTTGGGAGACAGGATGCTGCACTGTGCATGGCATGGTGTTTCTTCTGTGTAAAATACTCATTTTGCTCAACTGGCCCTGAGTAACCTGGAAAGAGCTTTTAGACATAATAGTTCCTTTAATTGTGGGATAAAATACACAGGCACTTGTTTTAAGATATTTGTACAAGCTACAACCACAGTTCTCTCCTGACAATTCTAGCCAACTTTTCTACCAACATGTCGAAAACTCTTTAGTTTATGTTACATCCAAGTGAGAAAGTTCTCCATTATGCACATACAGAATATTAGCAGAAAAGCTCCTGCTCTCTGTACATTTAGGTATTTTAGCAAGCTTTCTCTCTCCACGTGGTGTTTTCAAACCTACAGGCCATATCCATTGTTCTGAATCAAGGGACCGAGGGAGTTTGTTGCATGTATCAGATGATTAAGTTATAAGTTATAGCCAGAATTCTTGTGCAGGAAAGGACTCTCTTTAGACATGATATTGCTGGTTTGGAAATATGGCATGAGACTACCTTTCCAACAAGGTCTCAAAGTTTGTTTGGCTGCAAAGACCGATTGCTGTGTTTTCACAAAGTCTTGGGTAAAACAGCTCCGGGGTTCAAAATGACTCCTCAAAACAAACAAAATGCGAAAAATGCCCTGGGTTTGTTTTGATATCACACAGACTCTTCACTTACCTTGAAGACAAACATCTCTCTCCTCAGTATGGCGAGGGTGTTGAAGCCTCCATCGCAGATGTTGGGTTTAGCATTAGGGTGGGACGGTCTATCTCCTGGGGGCAGCCTCGGAGGTCGTGTCTGCCTGTCTGGCTTGCGGGGGTCTGAAGGAGGATGGGAGCGGGGAGGGGGCGCCGTCGGCAAAGGCTTGGTGGGCTGGGGAATCTTATCAGGGGGCCCTGCAGGAAGTCAGAGACAAATATCTCACCTGGTGTGATACATATTTCTGCAATAAGTACTATTAGCAACCAAAATCCAACTTTTCTGACTACATGTCTGTGGGAAAGTGGTTTCATTTGGACCACACATTGTTATACCCTTCTGAACACCATACTGTGATGTTTTGAGCAACCAATAACTGTAAATACATTGCAATAAATACACACCAATGCATGAAACAAATATTAAATGTACATCAGAGTACAGTTCAAACTCTCCTTCAGTAACTGTATACAAATCTCTTAAAGGAATTTGAGGAAATACAATTGAATGCACTCAAATACATTCACTTTCTTGCTGAGACTTAGATGAGAAGATTGATAGCACTTTCATCTCTCTGTACAGTAAATATGAAGGTATTGCTAGCAGTCTATGAGCTTTGAACAAATACTGGAAAAAATATTAAATCTGGCTACCAGCATCTCTAAAGATCACTAATTAACACATGAAAATGAGACTCCAGGAGGTCACTGCTTCCGTCACAAACAACAACTGGCTGCAGAACCACCACTTCGTCGTTTTTTTGCTCTGTTTTTGAGCAGATTATATAGGCTCTCCTAATGATGTAAGAGTGAGTAGGGTGGGGTGTAGTGAGCAGGAAAACTAGTTTATGTGGGAAAAACTAAGACATTTAATGATGTGAAAACGCAAGCAACTTTAGTGTGAACAACTGCCATTATTGCTATTAGAACCAACCAGCCACCTTGCAGGAGAGCTAAAGGTTTTAAGCCAGCTTGAACTTTTTCACCTGTAATTGGAACCACAACGGCAAAGGAAGAGGTGCGTGAAGTGAAGAGAAAATTTAACAACAAAGAAAGGAACACACGAGAGACACAAAAGAGAAGATAGAAAAACAAGATGAGGCCATGTGAATCAGTGGATAAGAGTTCAACACTGCCAGATTTAGAGATTCAGCTCACCAAAGCATAATATGATATGTTAAGAGTAATGAATAAAACAGAAAATCAAAAGCACAAGTTAAAAAAAAACAACCATGTATACACTGTAGAGATAAAAAATAAAATTCCCTCACAAATGGAGGCCCAGACATGCCTCTGTGTCATTTCACATTCATGATTTACATGAGAGAAAGAGAGCGAGAGACATGCAGAGAAAAAAAACAGAGGGAGGAGAGAGGTAGAGGAGGGCAGGCGAGTGGGTTGTGTGTATGAATAATTGAGCACATGACGACGCATGAATGACACACTGTGTAACTGTGAAAACAAGGATATGAGTTGCCATGTGTTGATTGGGGCCAACAGATGCAGGAATAGATGACTGCAATATGAAAGATGCAAATGTGACAAACTACCCCCCCCCTCCAATGCCCCATTCATGAGAAGAATCAATGCACAATGGTGGCATATAAAATAATAATGACCTGGAAAGCAACTGTAAACATTACATCGGTTAAAGTTATGCATGAATGGTTAAATGACTCGACAAATGATTGAAAAGTGGGTGAATGAGATGAGGATTAAAGGAGTGAATGAGCAACTAATCATTTAACTGAAGGAGTAAATCAATAGTAAGCAAATAAACAAAAACAGAAAGAAAGATAAACCATAAAACTAGCTGACACACTCGCTGATCAGAGGGTTAAGAGGGAACGCGTCTCTGCTAGACATCTCCGAGTCTGCAGGACTGATCAGCGGTCTGCAGGAGAGATTCCTTTCACTGACTGAATCAAATCCCCTGAAATACATCCCAGATTAGTGCAGCCAAAGCACTCTGCAGTTATGTAAGCATTGGGAAGACTCGCAGTCAGATGGACATGTAGACAAACATGCAAATGCGTACACAAAGCAACATTATGGTAAACCAAATTAAACACGCCATTTGGCAGATTTGGTGTCTTTCAGTCTAGCAGGAATTCTAACCACTAAACCACTACATTTGTTCCCAATGATCCGGAAATCTTCAGGTGGTCCCACATGTCAGACCAGGGGTCCCCCATGTGCCATCAAGACCTAGCCGATCTCTACAGCAGCTCATTTCACTGATTAGTGCACTTTAAACCAAAGAACAGGAATCTAATCAGTGAACTCAGCTGGTGTGGTGATTGGCTCCAATGAAAATCTGCTTACTCCCCGGCCTTAATGGAAAATAGATGGAAACCAATGGTCTAGACTAAGAAGTGTCTGAAGAGCCTGTCTGAGTGTCTTTAAAGGGGGTAATCCAGCAATTTGTAATGACCTTCTATAAAGTCGGGGGACTCACAAAAATTGCATTAAAAAATTGGATTTGATACAGCAGAGGTTTAGATCCTAATTTATAACCTCAAGATGCCAAAACGTTGGATCCAACAATTCCCATGGTGCAAATTATTACATCTGTTAGACCTTTTGATACAAACTCAAACACACGTAGGTCCTGCAGATTTGTTATCTATTAAACTATGCAGTGTAAGTGCCAAATTACCTATTTTATTGGTTACACCATCTTTTATTTGTTCAGGTGCTGAGAGGAAGTTCACTGTAATTATCACTATGATATTTGGGGTTGCTGTTCTTTCATTTTTTTCTGCTCGCAGTGATGTGAGGGCTTTATTTTCTCTTGCTGCATGTGTAAACAGGAAGTCGGCTGTTCTCTTCAAAAGAGTGGGAAGTCATTATGTTCAAAGCTCGGTGAGAAAACAGTCATTTGTCCATGGGGAAAAAAAAAAAAACTACATGAAGGTGATTCCACTTTTATATGTTTCCTGTATGATCTGTCTTTATTATTTATACTTAATTGCAAGCTGCTAAAACTTCGACGATAAATATCCAGTGAAGTTCAGGTTGTTCATTTCAATATTCAAGAGAAATTATTGTATATTTGTAAAGAGGATCTAAGGAATAAATGCAAGTGGGCATTTCCTTCTGACTATACTACGACCCAAGCACTAAGGTGAGAAACAGAAACAGCGAATGGATCCACAATGTGAAGCTCATAATAACCCTTGCAGACCTTTTCTTCCCACAATTCATTGTGTGATCCTGCCTGGCTCCCACTGACTGCAAATCAAAGTCTTGAATTCATCATCTCCTTCCCATTTCCACCACACCACTTCTCTTCAGCCGCACTATACCTCTCTACCTCCATCGAAACTCATTCGCATTTTTCCCCTTTAAACCTTAATGTCGCCACCTTCTAATTCATCTCAAGTGTGCAGCTCCCACCTTTGTCCCTGTTTAGCCTCCACGTCTAGCATCACTGTTGCCATGAGGAAGAAAAGGAGGCCAACTGCTGCTGGAAAATAAATGAGACCGAGAGAGGAGCTGCCATCACTTGTCCTGCCCTTCAACTCCTGCTACAACAGGGAGGAGGAGGAGGAGGGAGGGGTAGCAGCAGCGGAGAGGAGTTAAACATGAGAGGGATGAGGAGAGATTTGATCGCTTGCCCAGGTCTGTCACTCCCAAAGGGACGTGCCCTGGTCATGTAAGCAGATGGCAGGTTCTTTTGTGTGTGTGTGTGTGTGTGTGTGTGTGTGTGTAGCCATTCATATGACAGACCACAGTTATCTCAGCCGAGTGTGACTGGTTTACAGCCTCGGCAGCTGTAAGGGACAATACCGTGACTTCCCACCAACTTGTTCCTTAACTTAAATGTCAAACTCAGGTTGAGACGATAACGTGAAGATTCAAATACATATTAAAATTCATAAATTTACAAAGACAAATCAAACCCAATCAAAACAACACGCAGATATCTAGATTGAGTACGGTTTCAACTCTGAGAGCGTAAAAATGAAGACTGCACTGATGCTTACATAAATCTGTTACCGTCAAATTGAATTTTACACTTCTGATAAACCCGCCCCAGAGATACATCAGCTTTAGACAAAGCACTGCAATCAGCATCTGTCAGCTGTGTCAGTGAGGAATGTGTAGGTGCTCTGATGATGAAGCCCTCGTCTCCTGTGATCTTAAATTTAAGTCTTAATCTTACATCTGTGCTTTATGTGGCTATCAAAGCCATCTTGGGTTATAACTAGGTTAGAATAACAGAAAAAAAGAGTGTTCCTGGACTAGTAGTGTATTAGTACAGTTGCTCTGTACATGAAGCCTTACCATAAATCTTCTGGATGCCCAGGAGGTCGTCCATGGGCAGTTTAAAGTTGTCAGTGTCCATGTACTGGTAGAAAGGAGCCATGATGGCCGTGGGGTCGTTGGAGTGCTCGAGGCCCAGTGCGTGGCCGAGCTCATGGACCGCTACCAGGAACAAATCGTTACCTAGAAGCAGAAAGAGAGAGCGGTCTGTCATTGCTGTGGTCCACAGTAAATGTGTGTTGCAGCATTTTATATCTCTCACAAGTTGCACCTGTTCTGGTTGGCAGCGCCAGTGTAGTTCCTTCAAAATAAAGCCAAGTTTAGCAAGTTCTGTACTGGCTGATTTAAATAAAGAACAGGCTTTAAGGGAAAAGTTTCAGGTTAGAGGATAAAACAGTGAAGAACATGAATGGTCCTCGCAACCACATGTTTCCAAACATGTGTCTGTGTGTGTGTGTGTGTGAGCATAGATAATCCACCACTTATGCACCTAATGAGTGGATTATGTAGCAAACAGCCACTGAAGGGACATATTACACAGAAACACAAGCCCGTACCAATGCACACATACACATTCCCCCTCACAGAGCATAGAAAACCCCCGCGCTCTGTAATTAGTCTCGAGCCGTGGTAAGCCGATGACTACACTGGGTTGACCTTTTGACTGAGAAACCCTCGGTGGCCGGCAGCCAAGCCCCAACCCAATCCCAGCTGTATTAGATTTGGTTATTTGGGATTTAAAGCCGCCCCCTTTGTGTCCCATTGAAGTTCCTCAACTTGCGTCACTGGCAACCAAAACAACAACAAAAAACACTCCACTTCAACCTCCCCTCTGATCTTCTGCCAAGATGTCAAATCCAACCCATAAAGAAACTCATCATCATTGTTGAGAAACTCATACAATTAGGGTTAGACTGCTATGTCTTATAAATAATTTATTATAGTACACTGGCTGTCTGTGGGAAGCCGTCAACCTCATTCCAAGGAGACATCTAATGCTTCAAAATAAATGTCATTACTTTACTTCAAAGGAGAGCCTTTTGCACTTGTTATAATAAAACCGTATGACAAACAGTGATCTTTTGGCATACAAATTTAAAGACACTAAATATTGGTAAAAACTGGCCTTTTTAAATAGGTTTGAAAATGGGCTGGTCAAAATTCTTGGTTTCAAGGTTGACCTTCTGATGCTCTCTCCGCTGCCACCTCTCTTCAGTTTTCCCTTTTTCTCTCTTATCACAACGAGAGAGTCGACAGGAATGAAAAAGCACATCACTTATTCATTGTGAATCCTACTAAAGTGAGGCACTTATCCGCTGCAAATCTGTCACATGAATAACGCATCAGCAGATACAGACCGTGATTCAGATCGCTTCTTAGCAGGTACAGTACAATGCTTAAGAATTTACAGATCAGACTACAGCAGAGAAACGGCTTAATTGGAACCTTGTGAAGGATATTTGACTGTATAAATGTCAGAGAGTCTTTATAGGGTTGATGTAAAGCCCTCTACTGCACGGGTGTAAAAGGACACACAGGCTGCATTAATGTCCAGGATTTTGCTGAAAAAGCTCGACCGTTCAGCCAATTTCTTCCAATGAAAATAGATGGCTTGTAAAAGTTGGAGAAGTACAGAAAGTGAGGCAAATTAATGCAAGCTTGTAATATTGTACAAGTGTCTGGAGATAAGAGTTTAGAGCAAATAAAGAGAGGCGGGGAGAGGAGAGGAGATAAAGCGAAAAGAGAAACGGCTCAGAGATTTAGGAATAGGCACTCGAGGGGGAAACAGGGTCACACTCCTCCGCAGCTGACGACCCTTCTTTGGGCCGTTTCCTGTAAATGGCAGAGGGAGCAGAGGAGTAAAAGTGCTCAATGTAGCAGTTTTAAACATCTGAATTATCACTGTACAAAAGCTGATGCAGTTATTCCACAACATACAGATGTGACCATGACAACTGGTAGGTTTTTTTTCCCATGGTAGAGTAGTACAGTTGGGTCAACTGATTGTCAGCACAATCAACTACAGAAGTATTACCCGGATAAAATGTGTGTGAGTGCACTGATACTGATTGGCCTAACTTCAGAATGACTTTATAATCTAATGAAAACTCATACATTAGCTGAGTTATACATGTAATGGGCCTAAATGGAGGCTTTAAAACACTTCTGCACAGGCTTCAGTGCATTACAGTATATGACTGATGAACTACACGTCATTATAATGAACTAATTTGCAAATATAAAAATTATCAATAAGAAAAATAATAGCATCCATCAACAAAAACATTGACAGATTCTTTTGGCAGCATTAAAACTTGAGGAGTAACTACTTGCCAAATATTTATTTAGAAAACATACAATACAGTATCAAGCCCAAGTGTTGCATATATTTATTTAATATTGTGCAAAGAGGTTCTTCATTTACAGACACAAGTACATAAGAGTTGTACCAGTGCAGGTAGACCCTACAGATGTGCTGGTCACATCAGCTCTGTGTGTAAATGGAAGGACTGTCTGTCTTTTTTCATCTCCGTCTTGTTCTATCCCTCAATCTTGAGTCTGTCTTCCTGCCTCCTGGGGCCATTTGAGGTCAGTGTTGTCACTTTGTGTCGGTTGCTTATGGAAGTCACGCTGTTGTAGACAGGGACGTCCTGTTGGCCCCGGGGCCACAAACAGAGCCGAGGCAGTTTGTACTGCCTGGCTAATTATCAGCTGGAAGGTATACAGAGCCTACACAGGGGATGGTAGAGTGTGGAAGGAGAAGGGGTGTGTACGAAGGATGAAAGACACAAAGAAGTAATGCAAGGGGATGTTGCACAAGGAAAAGAAAAGAAGCTAGATGAAGGCGAGAGAAAAAGTTATGGGAGGGAGAAAGAGATGAGTGGGAGAGAAAGATTCAGAGTAGATAAATACAGAGATAAAAAAAAAGGTGAGGTAAACTGAGGGGAAAGGGCGTTCGGAGTGATGGCTGCATGAGGAAAAGTGAAGAAAAAACAACAGGATGATGAAGAGAAGGGGAAAAACTGAGGCGAGGAAAACGATAAGGCTCGGGACTATTTGTTATCTTTGTTAGATGTTCCAATGTTCCAGCAATCACAAAAGATGGAGATGACGAATTATACAACTGGAACCTTTGACCTTGGCATTTGTAGCATCACCCTCCCGTCAGTGGCCGTATCTCAGCCCCCAAACACAAAAAATAAAGCACAAAATAGAGAGAGAGGGCTTCCGCAGCAGGACACAGTTGAAGAAAACAAAGCCAGGAGATGGAATACATTACAAAGCTCAGCAGGGCTTGTGTGATAACCCACTGGATGGGGGGGAGGGGGGGAAAGAAGAGACAGTGAGTCCTATATTTTCACCACACTGTGATTCATCATTCTCATCTGTGCCTGGTTTGGCCAAGAATTTAGCATAAAAATATCTCATCCCAAGCAACTATTTCAGGCACAAAACTGAAGTAACAAAGCACAAAACTCCTAGTATTGTTTTATTTGTTTCCATGTTAAGTGGGCAATGATCACAGTGGCAGCCCGCGGCAGCAGCAGTCTTGTCGACACTCTCCTCAGGATGGGTCAAGGTTGCTGCTAATGAGATAGTGTAGCCAAGAAGGAAAAAAAAAAAACCCAGAAAAATAAAGAAGGGAAGATAGAGTGGAAGAGGTGGAAGAGGAGAGTCACTGGAGATTTATGATCAGACGTACCTCTCTCTGTCTTTCCCCACAGGGTTGCAGTAAAGTAAACAGGGGTTGTGATTAGAAACCAGAAACCTCTACCTGCCTCTTTCTCCATAATTTACCGGCTCCCTGCACATGCCACCGCTGCTACAGCCCATCTGCTGGCTGTGGGCACACGTGACATGGGAGTAGCGGGGTTTCAGACATAAACACGTGGAGATAAACACACACTGGCCCACAAATCAGATACGGGGCCCCTGGACGGCGCTGTTCAATTGCAGTAATAGCTCAGGTTGTCAGCGCGGGCCTCCGGGGGCCTGTAACCCTCTCTGCTTCCTTACCGTTTAAGTAAGCACCCGTGGTTCACTCAACACGAGACATTTGACATCAGCTACAAGCACGGCTGCCCACTTGTTGGCTTCGCTACTCCCTTATACAATTTCGGATGTTCATTGTCACGCTCGTCTCTTTCTGTCCTGTGCAGACAAATTATGAGCGCTATCAAGGGACCTATTTTTTTTCTCTGCAGTCAGGACGGCTTTCGAAAACACAACAATCCCTTGTGACGGAAACACCATATCAACATCTTGAACTAGCGAAAAAAAAAAAAAGCCTGCAAAACAAACTTATAACAGCCCTCACTCCTCCTATTGTATGGACGAGGATGCCCAGCAGAGACCGACAATTTCTAACTCCTATCCTCTTTCTTTAGAACACACAGCTGCCACTGTTACTGCTGTTATCTCGTTGCTGTTGTTTTGCCGTCCAAGTCCAAGCAAGCATAAGCACTCTCTTTGTCCCGGAGGACCTGAAATGTTTCCCATTGTTCAGCTCCCACACCTCCCTGAGTGGCTGACACTGCACTTTCAGGAATGGTCTTGGAAAAACAGCACTGCACTGTAAAGTAAATGCAAAAAGGTTTTAACTACAATTTCAGAAACATTCTTGAAAATGCAATTAACACCTCTTTGGCCAGTTTATCTCATGTTCCCACACAATTTAAACAGGTTGATATTTAACATTATTATAGAAATGTCCATAAGTGAACTGTCAGTGTTCGGTCGGTTTGGTGAAGTTTGCATTTGTACTACTGTCACTGTAGTAGTGGCATAAGCAGGATGTTTCAACTATTTATCCATTACATTTCAAACATTTAATTGGACCTATTTCAACTGTTTATCCAATATTTTCAGCTAACTGCCTTTATTTAACAGTTTATTCATCCATTACTTTCACTATTTGAACTGTTTATTCATTACTTTAGCCATCTTTTCCAACCATTTATCCATTACTTTTAGCGACCTTCTTACACTTTTCTCCCTTTAACTAGTTCTCATGTCCTTGCAATTGTAACATGTAGTCCGGTGTTCAGGTGTTTCCATGTTTCCATGTACCCCTGGTTGGGAATCACTGATGTAAAAATATCTCACTAGCCTCAAAACCGAACACATGAAGTTCTGTGTGGCAAAGAGAGAAAATTATATTAATTTACAAAAGATAAATGAAA